CACTTGTTGATATGGCCACTTTTCGGCCCATATTGTTATTCAAAACAATGTTTGTTTTGATTGTTTCATTAAAATTAGTTGAATTGTATTGTTAAATCCATTGTTTCGGAACAATGAAAAGTATCTTTTTTTAAACAACCGATTTGGTGCGGTGGGATTGTTTCCTATTTTTCTTTTCAATTATGTCCTAACTTATTACTATATAATTATATTTTATCTTTTAGCTTTTCTTTGCTATTTTAACTCCAAATCTCCAACCTATAACCTACTTTATTTTTTTCCAGAACTTCCGCCGCCAACCTTAAAAGGAGTTTTGCCGCCTTCTATTTTATTTTTTCTCCTAATTTGCTTTTAACTCAATTCTAATTAGCTTTCGCTTTCTTAAGGTGTTTTGCCTTCTTCTATTTTGTTTTTTAAAAAATTTTATGCATAATTTTTGATAAATTTAATATTTAAACAATTGAGGGATTTTTGATAAATTTAATATTTAAACAATTGAGGGTATTTTAGTAAACTTATCAGTTACTGTACAGTATGATACAGTCAAACCAAACAGCAAAATATTATTTAACAATAACAAATAATACAATCTATCCAAACATTATAAAACGATGGGGAATAATAATCCAGACAGAGTGTTAAATTCCACAAACTCCTAGAAGTGGCTTTTTTTTTTAATTACAGGAGTTGAAAAGTGGCTATTTGTGAAATTTGCCCTGTCCCGTCCCAATTGCCATCCCTAGGAAAATATGGTCTATCCAGGAGTGATTTGCTTATAGGAGTTCATTTTTATGCGCTGATACTGTAATTTTTATAGTTTGTTAAACAACAATGGAAGTTTAAAATTCTTGACACTACCGGTCTATATAACTTACAACAACAACAACAAACCCAGTTAGTTCTCACAAGTGGGGTCGGGGGAGTGTAGGGTGTACACAGATCTTACCCCTATCCTGAAAAGGCGGAGAGGCTGTTTCCAATAGACCCTCGGCACGGGCCTATATAACTTAAATCCAGAAAAACATAGTTATCTGCATCTTAAAGGCTGACATGAAAAAAATTCTAAAGATAAGAATTTGCCGACATGGTTTGACTAGAATCTTAGTATATTCTGCTAAATCTCACTTTTTTATTTGAAAAAGAAGGTGTTAGAGTAAGTGCGGAATATTGAGAATATTTACTGTGTAACTGTCATATCTGGATGGCATGTTAATTCTTAAGATTGATCATGGTTGGGATCAAGTTATCGGTCTGCCTCATCAGTTCAGATGAGTGAACAATACAACAGAAAAGAAATGTTTTTGACCAATCCAAAGAATTTAATAATTGCAGAAAATTACATGCGTCTTGTTGAGTATGATAGAACTGCTGGAAATTAGGAAGAGATGGTTTAGTTATTGGTCTTTCTCATATATTCTTGGGTAGATGGTGTTATTTTCTGCCTCTATTGACGTTTGTAATCGTTGGTGTTCCCACTGCCTTGCTCTATTTGGACTACATGAATGTTATCATATTAAAACTTGTGGTTTCTGGAGCTAGAAAGCTATTGACTAATAAAACAACTTTTTGCATGTAAACTATGATAAGTGTTCTAAAATTACTTGAATAACTAGTTTTACTGAAAATACCAAACACGGCTTTCCCTTCTGTCATCTTCTTACTCCTTTCGTGTGTTTTCGTCTTCCCCTCAAACTCGAGACTACTTCCGTTTTTAACTTGGTTGGCTTCAAGAAACTTTTAAATGCAATGCTCCTCGCTCAGGTTGTTTGACCGTTTTTATACTCTACTCCTGCCATTATTTCTAAACTAATTATAATCCTAATCAATCTCATTGAAACTTTTCCTCCTCGTGTGCATCTCGACAACTTGACTTCTGTTTCTTTCACATTCATGTAATTGACTTCTGTTTTGCTACTATGATCTAATGACATGTTTTGTTCTTGAATTCTTGTTATCCTTCTGCTAATTTGATTCTTTTCTTATGCATATAGTCAATGGAGGAGATAGGCGAGTGGAAAAATCGTTGGCAGTCTCAACTATCAGAGCTAAAGAGAAGAAGCACGCGCAAGGACTCTGGTAACAGTATGTCATGGGGAGCACGTATGCGCAGGCAAAGGAACGAAGCTTCATCTTAATCGATAATAATCAATACATTATTTTGTATATATGGAATTTTTTTTCTCCTTTTTCTTCTCGTCTTAGTGCTAACCATATATGAAAATGCACCTAAATAGGCAGTGCATTTTGTACATAGAGTAATGTGGATCAAGAATTCCATCTCCAGTAATATACTCCTGCTACAGAAAAGGCAGTATTTTATTTATGTTAAGCAAGTTTGGCAAGCTTTCCTTCTTACCAATTCTCTCAGAATTGGGTGAAATTACATGATGGTGTGAAAGGTCCAACGGCGGAGCTATAGTTTTACTTGGGGGTTCAGCAGAATTGGAGTGGCTTCGGCTCAAATCTTGTATTTATGTCTAAAAATTTATTAAAATATATTTAAACCAAAACTATCAAGAGCCCAGTAAACTGCCTTTTCTTGAATCCAGACCCCACAAACCCAAAATTTTGTGTTCGTCTCTGATAGCATTTTTTGGAGATGATGAATTGGGAGTAAGCTTTGAGCCGAGGGTATATTGGAAACAGCGTCTCTACTCCCTCGGGGTAGGGTAAGGTTTTTGTACGCTCTACCCTTTACAGACCCCACTTGTGCGATTTTACTATCCTTTACAGACTTTACTTGTGCGATTTTACTGGGTTATTGTTGTTGATGATCAATTGGGAGTAAGGAAGATGTCAATTCATGAAGTCAATTCTTGGTCATTTTCATTATCATCTTGTATGACTCAGTCTAGTGTTCAGTTGTAAGGCATATTATTTTCTGTAAATAAAGACCACATCACAAAATGTGGCGCTTGGTCTATTTTGGTTTCTCATATCTTCCTATTTAATTACTAAAGAAAGAGACACCCACAGTTTGCTTTTAAGTTATTGGTTTGTTCCCAAAAATAACCAAAATATGTTGCTTTCTGCAATTTGTCCTGTGATATTTTTCCATATGGATTGATGGAAAGTTGTACACTTGTTGCCTAGCTTAAGGACTGAGAGTTATCTTTAAAATCTTGGACTTATTTTTGTTATAATTTTCAGCCAACACTTTTGGACCTTTCTTATTGTGAAAATTGCATAAAAGGAATAAAGAAACTTCAAGATTGTGGTCCACTTCTAGACCTTTGTATTTCAGTAAGTGCGGGCCATATGAAAAGTGATTGTTAGCAATTTCTACTTTCATAATAAAAAAAGAAGCTTTGCCTTCTTACTGTAGCATGGGACAACCATGTGAAAATAGTACGGGCTAGACAGTTTTGGGACTGATATTTAAAAAATAGACAGCCTTTACAAAGTTACTGAAAAATAGCTACTCCCTCCGTTCCAATTTATGTGAACCTGTTTTACTGGGCACGAAGTTTAAAAAAAAATGAAGACTTTTGGAATTTGTAGTCCTAAACATGTCAGAAAGGGATCCAGAGTATTTGTGTGGTTAAAAGCTACTCATTACGGGTAGAATTGAAAGTTTAAGTTAAATTATTTCCAAATTTAGAAATAGATCATTCTTTTTTAACGAACCAAAAAGGAAGTAGCATAAACTGGAGCGAAGGGAGTACTATTTTGCTAAAACATGAAAAGTTCCAGCATAATATCCTGGATTATGGAGCTCCTGAGTATAAACTTCAAGTATATTATGTTGGGACTCTAACACACAGATAATTCCCAACATAATCCACTAAATTATGGAGCTCCTGCGTATAAACTTCCAGCTTATTATGTTGGAATTCCAACATATTATGAAATTCCAGCACATTATGCTAGCATACTATGCTGAAATTTTTCCAAATTTTATAAGAGTGTTTTTGTTCAGATTCTATTTTTATATGACAAAGTGGCTAATTCTCGATTATTTTTGAAATTGTGACTATTTTTCAATTACCAATTATAAATCTGACTATTTCTAAAAAAAAAATCCCCAACAACCATAGCTTAAAACCTTCATCTCGCAATTAACTACTCCCTCCATTCCAATTTATGTGAACTTGTTTGACTGGGTACGGAGTTTAAGAAAAAATAAAGACTTTTAGAATTTGTGGTCCTAAACAAGTCAAGAAGGGGCCCAGATTATTTGTACGGTTATAAAAGCTTCTCATTAAGGATAAAATTGTAAATTTAAGCTAAATTGTTTCCAAATTTAGAAATGGATCATTCTTTTGGGAACAGACTAAAAAAGAAATAGGTTCACATATACTACTAGTCTCTAAATACAAAATTTGTACACACAACGTATCCTCTTCCCATATAAAACTAAGAAAAATATATATATTCGGGAACTAGTTTTAAATACTAAAAGAAAAACTAAAGAAGAGAGGGCCTACCTCTAATATACATCCCATAATTTTCGTCTAATTAACTTGAAATCCGATGTTAAATGGTATTTTTTTAAGATAGTGGAAATCGACTATAAACAAGACCTTGCATCTCAGTGAATTAAATGAATGCAACTACCACTTTTCTTTTGTTTGTGCTTTTTATCCCATCTATCTTACAACTATAGTAATACTATGTTACAATTCAAAATTGTGGAGTTGTAAAGACCACAAAAGCTAGTTCTTTTACACTCAATTAGAAAGAGCATCCAAGCTTTTAAGCAAATAGAATAAACTTGCATAAGCTTATGCATCTTCCTAGACACACTATCCCGCCGTTCCATCTGTGGGGTTATCAGATATATGGCAATAAGTTGCCCCTCCGTCTAAGCTACTGCAACGTTCAGCCATGGTGATTGAAAGCTCTCGAAGATCCTTTTTCCTTTGGGAAGTTACAGGAGCAAAACAATCAACCTATTGATATTGTAAACGACCCGACTATTCTTCCAATGTATCTATTTTTTCGGGTCCGATGGAATTCATAGGTATAGGAAGAACGCCGCGATCAAGTNAACTCATCATGTCAGATCACGTTAATAGCATTCAATAAGGTATAACATATGGCAGAGCACAAACATCAGCAGCCTCTATTTGCAAAGCTTCAGACCATACCCAATGTTCCTTATTGACTTCATCTGGACACGTCTCAGCTTTCTTAGCCGGAGTTCTTTCGCTTCCCAACAACCATTCCTGGTCATCAAACCCAGACCAATCGTCCACCTTCGGAACTGAGAGTATCTGGCTTAAGTATTTGGAATCGGGATGAGGAGGTCTTTTAGATGCTTCAGCTATTTGATCAGCACCAGGAATGATGGATGAAGCCTTTGCCTCAACACTGCATAATGGCTGGCCTTCTATACCACCATTCACCTTGTGCTTCTTGTTTTCCACTTTAATATCAGTAGCAACTTCCTGTTTACTGGAGGAGAACAGGTCTGCTTTTGGGTGAGTGTCAAATTTTTTTCCATTCTGTGTCGGCTGCTGAGAGGATGACGGCCGCAGCAATTTAGCAGGCCTGAGTTCACTCTCTGTACAGCAGAACAGAAAAGCAACACTAATCAGCCAAACCAAAAAGTTAAATAGAGCTGAACACGCTTGTTTAAGTTCAAGCAATTTGCATTAGAAATACATCAAATATGCTGGCTACAAATTCCCTAACAGACTACTACATCCAAAATCATAAGAACTCTATCAAGGCAATCTAATTCAGATACATAACTCTCATAGCTTTGACGCATCCGCAGGGTAGGATGTAAAGTCAATACAACAGAAAATAGCAGGCTGTTAATAGTTTTTTTTAACTCACCATGCAGGAAACCATTAGTTTCAACATCCTTCCTCTTTCTGACAATTCCCACGTTGACTGTACCAGCAATGTTTTCCTTGGATATAAGTGGAAGTTTATTGTTATTAAGACCAACAAAGTCATTCTTATTGATGTCTCTTGATTTATCCTCCTGGCTTTTCTTGTGTTCACTTTTGTCCTTCGCCTTCTCTTCCTTTTTCTTCTCTTTTTCCTTGTCTTTTTGCTTTCCATGACTTTTCTTTTCCCTATCTTTATCCTTGTTTTTCTCTCTTGGTTTGTCATCACGTCTTTCTTTAGGTTTCTGTTTTTCCTCTCTTGTCTTCTCAACATTTTCTTCCAATGGTCGGGGGACTCCTTCAAATTTGCTTTTTGCCATTGTAGAAAGGCTGGGAGGTATTGCATTAGCTCCAATTTTAAGTTCACCCCCGAATGCTTGCCCATCCAACTTATTGTTAACAAATCCTTTCTCTTTGTTCTTTTCCTTGTGTTCAGCCAAATTTCCAGAATCCTTGATGCGCACCCTGCCTGTCTCTTCATCCCTTTTGTTGAGAATGATCTCTTCATCCCTTTTGCACTCAACTGGAAATCTCTCCGCCAACTGACTTTGAGCACCCTTCTCTGCATCTCTGATCCTCCTGCCCAACTCCTGCACAAATTTTGAGTCCTCTGTCTCAACAGCAGAGAGGCCAAGCTGGAAGTGAAACTGATCGGGGCGCTTGCCTTTCTCTGAGCTGATGTTTCTATCCCTATCTCTGAGCTGATGTTCATCTCTCCCTTTATCTGAGCTAATGTGTCTATCTTTATGTTCATCTCTCTCGTGAAGTTTCCCTCCAGTAGAAGGCCCAGGTAGAGACGCAACTCTAGCCTCCTCAGAGATGCTGCTTTTCTCTTTATCCTTGTCCTTGTCCTTCTTTTTGTCCTTGTGCTTTTCCTTCTTGTCCCTGTGTTTATCCTTTTTCTCTTTCTTTTCTCTGTGTTTCCCATCACTTTTGTCTTTATCCCTTTTTTCTTTACCTTCTCTCTTTTCCTTGTCTTTCTTTTCCTTTTTATGTTTTTTCTCCTTCCTTTTCTCCTACACCCATGAAAAGGAACTGTTAGTTTATACCAAACAGGTCGATTACAATTTTTTTTTTGTTTGACAAGTAGGTCAAGTACAACTAGTTAAAAACATCCTTGTGCAAAAGGATGAAAAAACATGTCAAATCTAGCACAATATTATAAATAGCTTACATAGTGCCAAAATTAGGAAACCAAATGAGAAACTCAAGTTCAGGTGGAAATCCTAGATCTATCTGATGAATGCTCAAGAACAAAAGTATCCAATAGTTGAAGAGAAAAAACAAAAAATCAACCACCAGTTAAGAACTTAAATGATCATCATAGCAAACCAAACACTGAGTAGTCACATAGATTAAATTTGTATGGTAAACATTGTTTATTAGTAAGAAAAGCAAACATTGAACAAATACAAACAATCACTTTTACTAAACTTGGTCCCCCAATATGTTACGCAATAACAAAGTACAGAACAGGACATCAGCAAACACACTATTAAAAGGCAATCACATCTCACCGTGGCTCCAGCTTAATTAGCAGGATCCAAAAGCAATATACAAGTTTTGCTTCTTGAATATGAGTTTAGGCATCATGAAGGAAAAACATTTAAAAATCAAACAGTTCCTAATCAGTCTCCTTTCGGAGAGTTATCGTCATAGAAGAAGTCCATAATTAACTTCTACAGTCTCCAGCTCGTGCCGTGTGAAATGCCTTTATAATGAATGATGTTCCATAATGGGTTCAGCTACAAAATTATAACAGCAACAGAAAATATCCATGACAAAAGAAGCCCTCATCGTCCCTTTCAGATCACAGGAATCACTAATGAACTTATTCCAGCATAATGATTTCACCAAACGGAGGCTGTACAACAGACCATTCATACACCTGATAAAAAGTGTGACATGCGAAACCAGCTTCTAAACAGATCCCTCAAAAACAAAAATCAACTACCTTACTTCGGACAAAGGAGGGACGACAAGCAAGCAATTTCATGACTCAACAATCAACACAAAAAGCAAGACAGTTCAATCCATCAACAAGTTGGCATATCCCACATTAGTCACTTTCTTACGCCAATCTGCACTAGAGAACCTATATGAATGGAAATTCCCATAGGGACATCATGACCAAAGGGCATCCTCATCTTGGTATAGCGTATAATGCTAACAAATAGGTGAAAACACATCAACAACAAAACAAACATGTTCACATGCATAACAGAATAATATGGGCACAAGCATTACCAAATGCAACAGCATAATGCAGCTGATTCGTAACAAGTTAACTTCACATTTTCAGAGGACACAACCACCTCAAATAACTCTGCCTGTTTGAGCTTGCTCACATTACCGGTTCGAATCCCAATTAAAGGATGATGGCTGCAAGTGGTTGACAACCAGCTTAAAACTAGTCAATTTAGGATGAACTCACAACATAGAATACATTGGGACATGCTCAATTAGACAGTGTTACATCGGACTTCGGTGTGATGAAAAACGGGCAAATGGTTCCATCACATCGCTGCCCAGATGAGGGAGTATGAGCAATGGTTCATATGAATGTGGGTAAAGTAGTTACTCCTGCCACATCAGCGCCCGATGTGGTGCAAGATAGAGAAAGAGTTCTAGCATCATGAATGGATGAGGGCAAAGAAGCTTTGATTCCATGAGCCACAGTCCACACAATAAAAATTTGGGGGGAAAGTAAATGCCCGTACACTTAGTGACGCTATAAAAGTGAAGTGAATCAGTTTGGATTTATATCTCGTACATCTACAAAAGTAGGCTATATTGTTGCCAAGAAGATCGATAAAAAATAGTAGGAAGAGGAAAAAGGATTTATAAATGGTGTTCCTTGACCATGAAAAAACACGTAATAGAGTGCCAAGAAAAATTTTTTTGGTGGGTGTTTGAAAGGAAAGGAATTGATACTAAATATAAAATATCATGTAGATATGTATGAAGTAGTCACTAGTGTGAGAACAATTGTATGAGATACAAAGGAAGTTCCCCATAATCGTGGGTTTACACCAAGAATCTACATTCAACCCATACTTGTTTATCGCTAACGAACAATGTTTTTCTTTATGATAGGGAGGGTCAAAGGTGTATGATATTTGCAGACGGTGTTAATTAACAAAAATACGAAAAATGCACACTTGCTTACCCTAGTTAGTAGATGAGCTAACAATATAGAGGATAAGGTCCCATGGTGTATGATATTTGCATACGATATTGTGTTAATTAACAATACAACAGAGGAGAAGCACTCTAGAAAGCAAGGGTTTTAAAATATTTGGAAGTAAGATTAAATATATGCACTACAAGTTTAGCCAACATTAGAAAAGTAAAGCTAATGTAAGATTGGTCGGGATTGTGGTGCCTAAATGCAAATAATTCAAAAATATAAGCTCAATGTTTCAGGAGAATGGTATAACAGATAACAATATTGCACATCAAACCAAAATATGGTGGTTGAGAGAAGTGTTATGCAATAGGAAACTATCTATCAAAGTGAAAGGCAAGTACAATAAAACTGTCTTAAGACAAACAATATTACTAGGGAGTGAATATTAGGCCTATCCGCAAGATAGCGTCACACAAAATGTGAATGATAAGAACACTGAAAGACAAAGCACTAACGCAAACCAGAAAAGGCAATCAGCAAACGCAAAATATTTCATCATAGCAGATAGTCCCCCCTACTATCGTAAAACAACCAAATTTTCCCTGTCTATACATTTATCTTCTACCACAAATCTGGCAATTTCTCAGAAGGTGAACTTCTATGGATACAATCCTACAAATACACTGCTCTAAATAGATCCAGATGATAATTAATTTACAAATGCCCCAAACTAAGATTCTGTAACTTAAAATAATTCAACTGAAACCACAGCCATGGCCAGAGAGCCTTTGCTAATAACAAATATACGTAATCCAGCTAAAGTATTGATGGGAAGCATGACAAGCAACCAGCAATTTCCACCAAAAGGATGGAGTATAGTGCATCCAAAGGAAGAAAATTAACATGCCATTCAATTGGATTCAATTTTTAAAAAAAATGTTACCTGTCATCATGTTCTAGAGATTTCGCCTTAGATAACTAAAGATGTCTAAAGCAATCTACTTATGCATCACATTTTATACTAATCAGAAGAAAGCGGAAAACAGATCCCTTTATTTTTTCTTTTATACAAATTTACACTATCTTTTCAGCAGTGCTTTTAGAATGTCTTCTTCCGATATATTAAGACAGTTGCTTTTAGAAATGTCGTCTCCCAATATATAAGAGAATCACACTACTCGGCTCGGAAGCATCCATACTTTTAAATTTCCAATCAATTAATTGACATTAAGTACCATATGAAAGAAAACGCCTTTGGAACAGTCCATGCATCACAATCCACAGCCAATAATCTCCAGATAATATGTTACTGGTCCGCATTATTAGAACAATAGAACATGTCATTTGGCACTGCTTTGAATTATTAGAACACATTCACAAAAAGTGATAATTATATAAGTTGAACAGACCTCTTTCAATAAGTCACCCTCCTCTGGTTTAAGCTTCTTTTCATATCCCCGTGGTGGAAACGGAAAGCAGCGCGACATTGCACAAAATTCTACTCCGAAATAATAATAATACTCCAATTAATTTCTCACAGCAGTGTTGTTCCAGTAACGGAACGAACCAGAAATTATACTCTTGTCCATGCACCATGTCCCCACATTCCTTTCAAACTTCAGTTTGCTTCCATTTAATACCTTTCACTAAATCAACCCAAAATCCACTAACTTAAACTTGCAAAATCCACTAAATTAAAATTGCTCTTCACTTCAAATTTCAAAAACAAGAGTCAAAAACACAGTATTTCAAAACTCCGTCAAGGTAAAACTGCTAATAACTCTAGTAATATCTACAGTCCTCTTCCATAGCTCAAACCCCCTGCCAATTTTGCTCGCATTAATGGGCGATCAGCGGATCAATTGCTACTATTGAACTCTTCAAAACCCTAATTAGATGAAAATATCCCAGCAATTAAGCTCAACCACTTAGAGTAAGCGATCCGATTTGAAAACCCTAGAAAATTCCACAATGTCTCAGTAACCAATAAGAGTACCAAGCAAAAACAAAAGTGCGTTGAAATTCGAAGGAATCAAAGTGGAAAATTCCACACTTTTTTTTGTTCGTTTTATCAAAAAGGCGAATCCAGATAAAAACCGAAATACCAAAAATGCCGATATAAATCCCCAAAGTACCCAAAAATAGGTAACTTCAAACTGAAATCAGAATCAATAAAATCAGATTCAAAATTCTTCTTTTTTTTTCCTTTTAGTGAGTGTATATAATATATATATTTACCTTGCCCGCTACAAAGTGAAGAACATTGTAGGAGGGACAAGATCTCAAATATAAGTAACCATAAAAATGGTTAATAATCGAATATTGCAACTCGAGAATCAATTTTTTGTGATTTAAGTAAGGGTTTGTGAGAAGAAAAATGGGGGTTTTTTGGTTTTTCGTTGTGCGCTGTTTGGTTTTTATGGGGTTCGGGAAATACACGCAAGGGGAAAAAGAAAGAGAGAAAAGGGTGAGGGCGTAAAGCCTCACATATATTGAGAGAGGAAAAAATATGTTTTTGTATAAAGGGAATGAGAGAGAAAGGGATTTCACTATTTGCTTCTATGACCGTTGGATGAATTCTCTCTCTCTCTTCATTAAATTTGTCCAAGCATTTGGCTTGTTAATACTATGAATGAATAACGGGTCTGCTAAAAAAGGGGCAGCCCGATAGATAATAATGTACTACTACTTCCGGTTGTTCAGTATTTTAAAAATAGATTTTCACTGTTACTTGTCATTTTAAGCATATTAAGAGAATGATAATTTCTTTTTTCCTGTTATACCCATAGTATTAATTAATCATTTCAAATTATTTTCTCAAATCTATTAAAAATATGCATCAATTAATATGGGTGTCATGATAAATTATGCACTTCATTTATTATTTCTTAAGGGATGTGCAAAGTCTATAGAGGACAAGTAAAAGTGAACGGAGGGAGTATTTTGTATTCACGCAGGGCACGGGAAATAGCGTACTCTTAGGGCTCGCTTGGTATAAGATAGGGGGAAGTGGACAATTATCCACTAATTAGAGTTGTATTTACTCTTAAGCCATTGTTTAAAATGCATTTACTCTTTAGCCAGTACTTTAATAAGCTTTTACCCGCTCACACGAAAATACCGTTTGTGCTAGACATGGTGTCCTTAACTACATGAGTGTTGTGTAAATATTAAGGACAAAGTATCCTGAATTAACACCTTTTGTTTTAAACTTTAGGACATCATGTCCTTAACTTCATATGTGCAGTGTAAATGATAAGGACATGGTGTCCTTAACTTCATGAGTGCTGTGTAAATATTAAGGACAAAGTGTCATGTATTTGCACATTCTATTGTTAAACTTTAGGACTTCATGTCCTTAACTTCATATGTGCAGTGTAAATGTTAAGGACATGGTATCCTTAACTTCATGTGTGTAGTGTAAATATTAAGGACATGGTGTCCTTAACTTCATGAGTATTATGCAAATATTAAGGATATGGTGTCCTTAACTTCATGAATGCTTCTGTTGTTAAACTTTAGGACATCGTGTCCTTAACTTCATGTGTGTTGTGTAAATATTAAGGACATTTTGACCTTAATATTTACACAGCACTCATGAAAAGGGGTAAAACCGTCTTTTTATATTAATTTTAATAGAGTAGTGGCTATTTTTGCTCAGCATTAAAAATGCTGGATAAAAACTAAATACCACATTAAAAAGTGGATACCCTATGCCATTTTTACTATAAGATATAAGGGATAATTAATCTCGAAATTAAATTTGAGATTAATTTGTCCTGCGTTTGGTTGTGATAAAATTATGATATAACTAATCTTTATACCGGATTATAGTGTTATTTTTATCCCAATGGGCAGATGGGATAACAATCCCGAAATAACTAATCTCAAAATAATTAATGTTGGAATAACTTATTTCTCAACCAGCCGAGCCCTTGGAGCGTGATATAGACGGTTTACCCTAACGAAAGCATTAATAGTTGCTTCTACGATTCGAACTCGTGACCTATAGATCACACAAAAACAACTTTACCGTTGCTCCAGGCCTCTCCTTCAAATAACGAGGTTGTTAAATTGAGGTGAAATTATGGTCTTCCCTTAAAGATTCATGTTACTATGACGTTTTATTACAACTTCATTCACTATCATTGCATAATTACTGCTACCAAGCACTGCTGTTAATTTCCGTAGCACTAGTTGTCATCACACAACCGCCATATACAACCTATACCATCATCGATCTATAAGAAAAATGAGTAAATAATATTGACTAAGAACAAGAAGGAAATAAGAACAAGTTATCAAAAATATTATGTCGTGGCAAGCCACTGCCTTAAAAGTGATTTCGTCTTTCAAGGCGAAACAATGGTGTAGCAAACGATGAAGAGCATTACAGTGTTCACTATTAGGGTTGTGAGTATATCTACTCATTCTACTAACATCATAAGCAATATCAGGTCGTGTATAATTCATGAGAAATATTACACTACCAATTATCTTAGCATACTCAGTTGAGAAATACTAAATTCCTTATTCTTTTTCAAGTGTGTGCTAGGATCATAAGGAGTTCTCACATGTTCTACATCAAAACAATTAAACATTTTCAACATTTTCTCAATATAATGAGACCGAGACAATGAAAAACTATTAGAAGTTCTTTTGATCTTAATCCATAAATTCACATATGCTTCTCCAAGATCTTTCATTTCAAATTTTAGAAGACAAAAAATTCGTAGTCTCATTAACAACATTCACACTAGGGCCAAAGATTAACATGTCATTCACATAAAGACATACAATAACACAATCTGATCTTATCATCTTGGAATAAACACAAGTATCAGTTGCATTAACAACAAAATTATTACTCATTAATGTGCTATTAAACTTTTCGTACCATTTCTTAGGTGCTTGCTTTAGACTATACAAAGACTTTCTCAATTTGCTTACTTCATTCTCCTGTCCTTGGGTCACAAATTCCTCAGGTTGAGACATATAGATCTCTTCCTCTAAATCACCATTTAGGAAAGCCGTTTTTACATCCATTTGATGTATCACTAAATTATGAATAACGACTAAAGCAACAAGAGTTATAATAGTCGCTGTCTTAGTCACAGGAGAATAAGTGTCAAAGTAATCAATGTCTTTCTTTTGGTTAAAACTCCTAATAACAAGTCTAGCCTTATATCTCTAAATCGTACCATCAAGTCTCAATTTCTTCTTAAATCCACTTGCTACTTATGGGTTTACAACATTTAGGCAAATCAGACAAGTCCCAAGTGTGATTAGAAACTATAGAGTCTAATTCACTTTTGATGGTCTCTTTCCAAAACTAGCATCTATTGACCTTATTGCTTCACTGTATGTCTTAGGGTCTTCTTCTATTAAATAGAATGACAATAATTCATCACTCAAAATATCAAGATCAATATTTTCAGTCAAGAGAGTAGTAATATAGTTAGGACCAAAGCTACCTTTAGTTTTGCGCCTCTTACTCCTTCTAAGTTCATTTTCATGCACATTAACAGTAACACTAGAAGAAGGCACAATATGAGAATTAACAGACATAGATGTAGAAGCATTATTAGGCACATCATTAGGCACATTATTTTTCAATGAAAAAACATGCTCAAAAAATTCAGCATCTCTTGATCCACAAGTAGAATTATCATTCAAAGACATTTATCTATACGCAGCACTATTTTGAGCATAACCAATGAAAATAGCATCAAAAGTCTTGGGTCCAACAGTTACTTATTTAAAATCAGGTAGACCAACCTTAGTCAAACACCCCACACCTTCAGAATTTTCAAGTTAGGGGCAAACCCTTTCCATAACTCATATGAGGTTTTATCTAACTTCTTATGAGGGACCTTATTAAAAATAAAGCATGCAGATAAAATAGCTTTCCCCCATATATTATTAGATAAACCCGACTTAAAGCATAGAGTTCATCATTTCCTTAAGGGTTCTATTTTTTCGTTCGGCTACACCATTTTATTGGGGAGTATAGGGAGCACTAACCTCATGTATAATATCATTTTCTCTCACAAAAGGCTTCTGGAGTATTAGTGTTATATTCACCACTCCTGTCAGACCTAAGTCTCTTGATTTTTCTGTCTAATTGAGTCTCTACTTCTGCCTTGTATTTCAAAAACATGCTTTCAACCTCATCTTTTGACTTAATAAGATATACCTTAGTGTATCCGGAAAAGTCATCTACAAAGGTGATGTAGTATTTCTTTACACCCTTACTTAGAGTGTTCTTGAAATCTGCTAAGTCTGAATGCACTAGTTCAAGTAATTCTGTCTTTCTACTAGTTACATTCTTAAAAGGCTTTTTGGTATGTTTTGCTTCTACGCAAATAGGAGACTTAGAAAAATTATCAACGTTAACTGTATGAATTAATTCCATTTTTCGAAGTCTTTAATATAAGCAATATTACCATGACCTAGTCTACAGTGCCACAAATCAATAGACTCAACAATATAAGCAAAATTTAAAGTACTAGGGTTAGCAATCTCTTGAGTGATGTTTAGTACAAACAAATCCCCACTAAGGTAACCCTTCCCAACAAAGTCTCCCCCACGAGTAATAACAATTTTATTAGGTTCAAAAACAAGTTAAAGATATGCTTTGTTGAGAAGCGCACCAAAAACTAAGTTTCTACGAAGGGAGGGTACATACATAACATTGTTCAAGGCTAAGGTTTTTCCAGAAGTTAACTTAAGAAGAATTTTTCCTTTACCCATAACTCCAACTGTAGTGGAGTTACCCATGTAGACACACTCGCCATCAACAGATTTATAATTTATAAACAAATCAAAGAGAGGGTTAGTCATATGGTTAAGCACCCTCGAACAGTTTTATTATCCTTTTTAAATTTCTTCTTAGCAGCATCATCAGCAAAAACATCATTAACAACATTAGAACTATCAGCAACAACACCAGCAGGAGGATCGTTAAACAAAACGTAATCAACTTCTAATTGTTCAAAGAAAATTAAAAGTTGATGGGACCAACGCTTATAATTATTTCCATCTAAAGGTTCAAGCTTTGACAGGTCAGGAAGTGTTTTATTCAAAGTGGTAGCCATTAGTCAATATTGTATGTAAAATTGCTTTCAAATTGTAAGAAAAATGAGTAGATAATATTGACTAAGAACAAGAAGGAAACAAAAAAAATTTATCAAAAATACTGTGTCGTGGCAAGCCACTACCTTGAAAGCGAATTCGTTCGTTAAGACCGGGCGCTCCCCAATGTTCAACAGTACCTCCAAACACGTGCACTCGTGGCTCGAAGTTTAGAATTTGCACAAAATTATTGCCCAGAATTCGGATGAAGTAGAAAAGAGGATAAATGTGTTTTTTCTATGTCAGATTATTCACAAAGAAGATTGCCTTTTATAGGCAAAATTGTTGAATAGTTACAGATAAAGAAATTAATCTATAACTGTTACAAAAATTAAAATGGAGTCGTTACCCAATTAGCTACAGCTGTTAAAATAATAAATTGAACGTTACAAAATCCAATTCAAAGAGAAAGAATTTCGACATA